AAATTATAAGTTTATTTTCTGCGATAATTGTATGCACAAAGGCTAATTCATGTATTCAATGTTAATATGGTTGATAAATAATATATCAAATAATAATAATAATAATAATAATAATAATGAAGTTTTTTAATCATTAAAAAAGTCATGCATCAGAAGTTGTCTAACACCATGGCAAATGTATACTGAAAAGAGATTTTATGACCTTTGACCGTAAATCTCTGAACACCATAGAGACCCTACCTTATGCCAATACATATGTGCCCAGGATAAGTCTGTGCTATGTTATTTGTGACAGAAGAAGTCTCTTATACATTTTTTGAAAGTTTTTTTACCCTAATGACCCCAATGTGACCTTTGACCTCAAGCAGTGAACACCCATGTATGAGAAGTGTCACCGGTTATACTGACCAGGTTTGGTTGAAATCGGCACAACCGTTTGGCACTAGTAGCGTTTTGAAATGTTGCCAGAAAAAAGATAAAAATTACCCCTTAATGACCTTTGACCCCTTATTCCTGAACACCCTATAGACTCTGCCTTATGCCAATGTATATGTGCAAAGGACAAGACTGCGCTACGTTATTTGTGAGACAAGTAGTCTTTTATACGATTTTTGGTTTTTTTTACCCTAATACCCTTATGTGACCTTTGACCCTAAGTTGTGAACAACACATAAATGGGAGGTGGCCCCGGTCCTACTGACCTTGTTCTAATTAAATCGGTATAGTAGTTTGCCACTAGTAGCCTTTTAAATTGTTGTAAGAAAGAAAGATAGAAGAAACTGCTCGGAAACAGAACCCAGTCAGCCTGCTGCTGACTGGGTAAATATACGTACTCTTACGTTTCGTGGATCTTCATCCGGCAATGAAGCTTTTATACGATTTTTGGTTTTTTGACCCCAATGCCCCTTAAGTGACCTTTGACCCTAAGTTGTGAACAACACATAAATGAGAGGTGGCACCAGTCCTACTGACCAAGTGTTACTGAAATCGGTCCAGTATTTTGCCACTCGTAGCCTTTTAAATTGTTGCCAGAAAGAAAGAAAGAAGAAACTGCTCTGAAACAGAACCCAGTCAGCATGCTGCTGACTGGGTAAAGAAGAGATTGCTCAAAACAAAATCCAGTCAGCAGCATGCTGACTGGATAAAAAAGAAACTACTCAGAAATAGAACCCAGTCAGCAGGCTGACTGGGTAAGAAACTGCTCAGAAACAGAACCCAGTCAGCCTGCTGCTGACAGGGTAAATATACTTACTGTTACGTTTCGTGAATCTTCATCAGGCAATGAAGCTGGGAGCTAGATAGGCAGGTGTTCATTCAAAAGGGACCTTTTTATTTTAATTGTTTCATTTAAGTATATTAATCTTTTTTATTACTAGTATAGTCATTGTTGCTGTTTAGGCGCTATAAATAAAGGCATTGCTTATATGGTACAAACCGATGGCAATTATTTTACTTTTTTATATATTAATACTATATATATATATATATATATATATATCAAGGTAGCCGTTAACACTGTTAGATATCAATTATCTTACTTTTTTATATATTAATACTATATATATATATATATATATATATCAAGGTAGCCGTTAACACTGTTAAGTTATATACATAAATCATTAAAGAAAGGACATAATAATACATCGTGTAGCATGATAGCTCGCAACGAATGTAGTCCTGTAAATAAATGAAAAAAGAAATTGTGTAATAAAATGCCTCTGGCGGGACTTGAACCTGCGACCTCTCGCTGTCAAGGCGAGCGTCATAACCATTAGACCACGGAGGCTTCATGGTTAAACAGATTCAAATACCAGCAGATACACTCCATTACACATTAAGTACGACTAGAAACAAATAATAGCATACACCGAAATATAAATAAAGGTAGCCGTTAACACTAGCCGTTACACTGTTAAGTTATATATAAATCATAAAAGAAAGGTAAATACAGTGTTCGAATGAAGGACATTTTGTTGAGAGCTGTGCTACGCGATGTATTATTATGTCCTTTATTCGTTCGCTTCGTTGCTTGGCACAGGGATCAAGGACATTTATTTGTTCTTTTTACACAATGGCCTCTGGCCCATATAAATGTAGGTTTACATAAATTTAAAGAGTGAAATGATCGTTTCTACGTTTAGATGATAAATTAGACTTGCTACAAGTCTCTAATTTATTGATTTTTCGTAATATTAGCACATTTCGAAAAGCGCCACTAGCGTCAATTTATGTCGAGAAACTTTTTGATGCGAATTAATCCCAGAAAAAGTGTACTATGGAACGCCATGCAATAAGCAATATGGTGCCAAAATCGATTTATTTTTAAGCATTTTCACTGATTAAGACAAAGTTTAGGGACTGGAACCCAGTCTAATGATAAATATAAAAATTTAGATAAATTATTAATAACATTGGGAGCACTGGTGGATATTAAGGTAGTGGCTATCGGCACTGCCGCAGTGCCAAAAAGTTGCTGTTTTCTATCGGCACTGCCACAGTGCGAAAAGCTGCTGTTAATTATTTGAATTAATGTTTTTATCGATAGATAACATTGGTATAATTCATAATTCATAATTTTCACTCAAAACGTAATAAGACTAGTAGGCAAAAAGGGAACATGTCCCTGTAGGCCCTACAAGAAGCCTACCAGAGAAACAATGATAATGGCAAAGACATAATAATAATAATAATAATAATAATAATAATAATAATAATAATAATAATAATACTGTAATAATAATAATAATAAAAATAAAAATAATAATAATACAGATAAGCCTAATAATAAATTAATAAATAAATAATAATAATAAAGTAATAATAATGATAATAATAATGAAGATCAAAATATAGCATTGAAAATAATAATAATAATAATAATACAGATAGGCCTAATAATAATAAATATAGATAATAAATAATAAAAATAATAATAAAATAAGTAATAATAATGATAATAATAATGACTGAAGATCAAAATATATCATTGAAAATAATAATATTAATAATAATAATAATAATAATAATAATAATACAGATAATAATAATAAAAAAATAATAATAAAATAAGTAATAATAATGATAATAATAATAATAATAACAATAATGAATGAAGTACAAAATATAGCATTAAAGTGAATTCAATTACTGTAGTTATTAAAGCAAGAATTGGAGCGCTGGACTGTCATGAAGGTGTTGTATTAATGATATTCTAAATATTTGGCTTTATTATATCAATAATTGATTAGGTCTAGCTTAACCTATATTATTGTTAACATTATATTATATTTGTTTTACAATTAATAACTATAATTATTTGTAATTAAATTATTAAACATTATATATTATATAGGCCTAGGTATATACATAAAACAAAAAATAAACAAATAATAATAATAATAATAATAATAATAATAATAATAATAATAATAATAATAATAATAATTTTACGACAGTTTGGTTAATGAGATAATAATAATCAACATATTAAATAAAATTACGTCCATGCAAAACCTGCTTTTAAATAAAAATGTTATTTATTTGATTCTGTTTAAAAAAATAATTTTATAAATTATAAGTTTATTTTCTGCGATAATTGTATGCACAAAGGCTAATTCATGTATTCAATGTTAATATGGTTGATAAATAATATATCAAATAATAATAATAATAATAATAATAATAATGAAGGTGCTCGAATAATGCGGTGAATAGGGTGGAAAGCCACCTCATCCCTTTGTTTACTGTGTAAAAACCAATAATGGTCACTTGTCTTGTGTGTGCTTCTCATGTACTATGATAAAACATACCATCTCTATATTAAATTGTCAAAATAATAAACAGCATTGTCAACGTCAATAATGTTCAGAGAGGTAAGTATATTGTATTTGATCTCCGTAATTACACGGTGGTTCCACCTTGTTTTAAAAATATGCAAATATGTTTTGGACCAAAAGGATTTTGTTTGTTTACGAACATTTATATTTTCTATTTGATAATGGTCATTTTGGAATATTGATTCGGATGCAATTTTTAAAATAATGGGCAAATGATCTGATTCGATACGGTTTCCAATATAAATATTACTAATTGTTTTTAAAATGCATGGGAAAATCATAACATAATCTACTACACTTTTACCTGTATGGCTAATAAATGTAAAACCTTTTGTGTGTTGAACATTTATTCTGCCATTGACAATTCGTAAACCAGTTTCTTTACAAAAATTAAGTAGGTCAGTTCCATAAGCATTAATAACCACATCATCGTTAATTCTAAGCTCAATACTACTACCATCATGTTCCATGTGTAATTCACTATCCCAAGTCCGGGCAAGTGTCATTATTTACGAAGTCATCTAATGTCCCGGTTCTGCTGTTAAAATCACCAATAAGGAATATCTTATCTCCATACTTATTTTTATAGACGTATAATACTTTGGAAAGTATATCATAAATATTAGTAGAGTGTTGTGAGCTTTGACGTGGTCTGTAGACAACTACTATTATGATGTGGTTATTGTTGCTAATATGTATACGTAACCAAACGATATAATTAGATGAACTAGGTAGTTCATTAAAATTTAAATATGGTCTGAAGTATACTATAATTCCACTAGGGTTTCTTCCATAGGTGTCTTTTAGGAATTTTACTATTTTGTTATTCGAACACTGTATTTACCTTTCTTTAATGATTTTTAATATATATATATATATATATATATACAGTATATATATATTATATATATATATTATATATATATATGCATATATGTATATATATATATATTTATATATATATATATATCTTTATATATATATAACTAAAACATAACTATAGATGCCTTAATTTATATTTTTATTTCTCTATCCTCTATTAATTCCAATTTTTCCATGTAAAACTTTGATAAATTAATATTATAATTGTAATATTTCATTAATAATTAATAATAAAAAATATTTTTAATTAAAATTTTCAATTTTGTATTTTTTTAATAGGTGGTGTGATTGTTCTTTTGGAGCGCTTTTTTTTTAGAGACAGTGATTAAGTTTTTTTTCAAGTTTTTAAAGCAATCCTCAGGCCCTGTTTTGATGTTAATGTATTTTATATTCCGTTTGTCAAGTGTTTCCTCTTTTTTTGTTTTTTTGTTTTTATTTTTTTTGCGCCTGGTAATAAATAAAATAAAATACATAAATTCTGTTGTGATACTTATCAAAATTCTTTCTTGTTTTCAGTTGGAAGAATTGTTGTTCACTGACATTTTCACCTTACACTTCAACTTCTCCATTGATCCTGAACGTACTATGCCAATGGGCTACGGTATTATCAATACCACAATTCCTATAGAAGTAATTTTTTACAAGCGAGATCCTGATAGTCGTGATGGAAATATTGTTTTAGGACAAATTTACAAGACAGAAACCCTAGTTATTAGCCTTCCATTTTCGGTGAAAGGTAATCAATATATAAAATTATTTGTTTTATGTTTGGTTTTTAGTGCTATTTAATTAATCAATTCATTCAAAGGCATCGACACGGCCAATAGTACAAAGGGAAATATTGTGAGCAAGTACAGTTCATCTTTCAGTTGAGACCCCTTTAATTCGGGACCATTTTTAAAAAGTAAAAACTGATCTCTTAACACCAAGCTCATTCTATTATGAGACCTCTTTAATTTCAAATCATGAAAATGGCCTCTAATACAAGACCAATTTTTGAAGTAAAATTAACCAATTTTTTTTTTTTTTTGACAAATGCACAATAATTGACAACAATGAGTTCTTTAAACAATCAATGACTTGCACTGTTATTAAAACATCGGCATATTTTTTTTATTATTATTTACAGAAATTCCGGTACTCAGTTACTAGTAGTTTCTAGTTTTACAGGTGTAACAGCCTTTTTAGAATTTGTTAGCCTTTTTCAGAAAATTAAAGATGAAACTTTATATATTGCAGCCTGTGATTCACTGCGTTCAATTGTGGGGATTGTTAGGCGTTTTCTCTTTAAGGAACCGCCATTTAAAAACCAGAATCAAAGGCAATAAGCATTGACTTTTTTTAATTATACATGACTTTGGAGACCACTTCCATTTTTATTCCTTGTTTATAGATTTTTGTATTGAAATACCCTCTAATTGTACTAAAATTACAGTACAATAGATTATTCAGGTGTCCCTACTCAAGAGGGCTCCAACTTAGGTAATCAAATGGTTTGCTGCATTTTAAGATTCAACCCATGGGCTAGAGCCTACTTGCATCTAAGGCTGAAACATGACAATAAGCCACTTTTACAATAACTTTTATAACGATGAAAGCTGAACTCCCGACCTCGAGGTCTGGAAATCAAACAGAACACGCTGCATCAATCCGCCTACCCCTTAATTTAGATGGAAATGGACTTGTATAGCGCCTTACACATTTAAACTCATCTCAAAATACTTAAAGAATGTAAAAAAAGAAGATAAAACTAACCCATGAACAATCCTAAAACTAATCAGAACAAAATAACCAAAGACACAAATTATAAACGAACCAGTAACAGCGAGTTGTATTCTAATTATTCTCTAAATGTTCTGTCTAGAGACCAGTCATTCTGGTGGTCTACATTTAAAGGTTTGAGATTTGTGACCACCTAAAATTTCTAGGTTCCAAAAACAGTCTAGAATTGGAGGATGAACTGAAAATGCAATTTCATTTAACTAATAACTAAACAGTTTTGTTTCTACTCACACACGCGTGATATAATACGGTATTGTCACAACTTTCTGAAATGCAAACATTTCTAATGCTATAATAAGTGTTTCAAGTGATGGAGGTAAGTTATTTCAGATCCTTATAGGTTTTGTATCTTCAGTGCTACCATTGTAACAGAAACAAAAAATAACAAAATCCATTTATTAACATTTTTCTTTCTCTTTTGTGTGGAAAACCCACATTTATTCAACATCTTTTTTAACATTACATTTTAGTACAATAGATTTCTGTAATCATAATAAAATTATACAAACAAAATTGTAATTAATAAATGCAAAATTGCTAGTACAGTATCCATAAATTTTTTCTTTAGTCTATCGCGAACTATTTATTGTTTTTATGTGAATTTAAATTTCATTTCTATACAAATAGCTTTTTTCTTTAGTTGAATGTCTATCTCCGCTTATTGTTTTATTTTCACTTCATTTACACTCATTATCCCCTAACTTGTTCACATTTACCATTCAAAATAATTATAATTATAGCTTTGTAGTTATTACCTGAAATACAATTTAGTTGAATATCTATTTCTACTTAACAATTGTTTTTAGGTGCATTTTCATTTCAATACATTTTCACATGGATGTTTGTATATTAAACATTCAAAATATATAGTAGTTATAACAATAATGCGTGTAAAGTCATTACCGAAAATAGAGTAGTTTATTTTTCCATAGAATGTTAATTTACATTTCATTTCAATACATTATCACATGCATTGCTGTTCAACATAAGAGACAGTATATATATATTTATAATAAATATTTAAAAAAACTAACACAGAGTATATAAAGCAAAATTAGCACTATTGAGAAATTTATTGACACAAATGACTATCACAACTATCAAAAGTGGTAGTTTTGTATTTGTTACTGTGTAAGGCTCATCATGCTATTTAAAAAAAATATGTAAACAATGCAGAACATTTTGGATGTAAATTTTCTTTCAAGTAATATATACGTTTACTACCGTAGAGGTTATGGTTAAACAAATGGGAATTGTTAAAGCCAATGTCATGTCATAATGCCTAAATCACCATGTAATGTAAAATCAGTGAGCTTAAAACGCTGAACTATTTATAACATCTCATAGCTCGTATCGTACAGTAAGTCATCAATGCATCACCTATATTAATAGGAATCTAAATTATAAAAGTGTTTCAGAAGATCAAACAAATTATAAATTCATTCCTGCAACAGCAAAGAGGAGAATGCACAAACAAACAAGTACAGGCGACCCTCATAGCGCAGTGGTTCTCTTTTTGTAAACTCACCCATCTGTATTGTACAGATAATAGTCATGAAAATAACTAAAAATAAATTTTACCGCACTAATTAAAAAAATTTCAAAGGCGCCATGTGAAGAATAAATCATACTAAAAGCTTTAGAAAATAAGGATAGTTACCAACCGTCTCGCATCGTGCGGGACGGTCCCGCATTTCAAAGTGATTTTGGATGAAATACGGTACGTATTTTGCAGAAACACATGCGTGATCATAAATTTGTCACGCATTTAGCTCAAGTCTATGCGTGATGAAGAATTATCACGAATTCGTGGGAACATGTATTTAAAAATGATAAGAAATTGGTTTTGATAAAAATATAAAAACGGGTCATGCAGTAACTGAGTCATTAGAAAGTACCGTATAGGGCCTAAAGTCTTTACGTGAACATTTAATTCACTGTGACGCGTTACTAAATTTTAATAATTCATCAGTATGCCTGTTCATTTTGTGTTTGTTCGAGTAATGAAATGTTTTTGTACATAGTTTGGGAGCTAAAGTTAAACATACATTGAAATTCAAATTGTAGGTCAACATGGCTTTATTAAAAGCATTTTTGTTTATCTACCCTGTATTGTCAACAAACAACTCTATGAAATCGTTTTAAGAAAACAGCTTAAACACGCTCAGCTCGTCGGAACGCCATGCCCTGCCCCCGGCGGCCCTGGCGCCCCCCACCCCCGCGGAAACTGCTCTATTTACTCACGCATTTCAAATCTCTCAGGTTGGTAACTATGAATAAGAAAGTTTTTAGATTCTTTTTGAATAAAACTCATTCTCGGACTGTACAGAAATGGGCTACTCATTCTAAAGATAGGGTTTGGCGTCTGACCAGGAAAAGAAACTTTGACTATGTTTTACGTTAGGCCATAATATACTGTAAAATTCGATGGCTATTTAAATGAGTGTGCCTTAAAACAAGTAATAGTAATTTAAATGTAATTCTTTCTTTAACAGGAAGTCAATATAAATTTCTAAGTATGACTTAAGGATTAAGATATACAAATATAAACTTATGATTATAAGCCCTAGATATCATAATCAGGATAAGGCCGTCCACTTCAGGATTTTTCCTCTAGTTTCTTGCTCCCGGTTTTTAACGTTTGTTATGTTTCGAGATTGTTCCTACGATCTAATAATAAATAAAAAGGAAAAAGTTAATTATTTATAAATAGACTAAACATTTATTTGATCTAAATATGCATAGGCATAGGCATAGGCCTAATTACGGTGGTGTTTAACCATTCCAAGAAAAAGTAAGGTTTTTTTGAAAGAGATCAAAATTGCAAAATTAAATAGTGAAAAAAACAGAAAAATGCAGTGGATACTTTACTTTGCTTTTCTTTGGGTCCATCAATTTATTGTCATTGCAGATAGGCCTAATAATATTATTAATCATTCAAATTTGTGAACACTTATCTTTTTCGTAGAATGCACTGATATTCTTGGTATAGAATCTGGTAATATTCTCGACTGCCAACTTTCAGCATCATCATCATTAAATGACAGTTATTCACCATCGATGGCCAGAATTAATTCTGCTGGATGGTCAGCTGGTATCCGACATTATGAAAAAGAATACATACAGGTAAACGATTTATGATAACAACAGCAGAAGCACTTACTATGTGTAATCTTCTATTTTTCATTTTTGTGAGGTTAAATTTTTCAAATTGCATAATCTAAATGTATGATGTAATTATTAATTTCTTTCACTGTAACTATAAAAATAATTATTATCAAAACAGTTAAAATTATTCTTTTTTATGAGCAGAATGATATACACAGTCTATATAATAATCGTCATTAAGGCACTGGTCGAAAGTTATAGATATGCTCCATTGTTACACCTAATCAGTTTACTGGTTTAATACTTAATGCATGCAGGAGGGGTCTATAATATTGCCTTAATTAATCAATAATGTGGCTTTTGTAACTTATATTATTTAAAGCCACATGCCATTTAAAATCAAATGTTGACCTACATATTTTAAAATATGTTATAATAACGAGAGGCTATAATTTTCTTATTAATCAATAATGTGGCTGTTGTAACTTATGTTATTTAAAACCACATGTCATTTGAAACCAAATTTTGACCTACAATTTTTAAGATATACTATAATAATAATGAGTCTTGAAAACAATATATTTTCGTCAGCATTTCGCAACAACTTTTACGTGCGAATGTGTACAACGGAAATAAAAAATAATATTCGCATCAGCAATCAAAAAGCACAGCTGATTACTCTTGAGTCGGTCTTATAATAATGGTCTTGGTGGCTGTCGTAAGATGGTTAGGCCTACTGTATGTGATAAAGTGACAATGGACTAATTAATTAAGATTATGTATATAAGACCATTTTATCAATCCGCCCTGTACGCGTTTGTACTTTCGAATATACAGTGCTCTCACTTGCCTTCTAAACACATTTTAGTGGACTGCTTTTTGAATGTTTAAAATCATTTGACATAGTTAATATGCTATGCTATATTAATTAGTTTAGTGGCCTACTGAAAGCCCTATAGATGCAAGTGTGTATTTTCCAACATACTTCCAATTTTTCCAACATAGCATCAAGACACTACAAGCATTACGGTACTCACAAATTTCAGATTATTTTGGACTTTAACAATAATTTTAATTTTACATAATGTACTATAGTACCTGTGTATCTACATACATGTATAATGTATCTACATTCGAATTGATATAAAAAAGTTTTAGAAATAAAATAAGGATAACATTTTGTGTTAATATTGATAGGATGGCAAATTGAGTTTGATAATTACTAAATTAAGTTTATCATGGATAAATGTATTTTTGAAAAAAACTTATTTTTTCTTCTTTATTTATAATTTTAGTTATTCATTCATGATTAAATTAAAACTGAAAATACAGTAGTTGTAATCATTTAAAACTAACTCAATTTTGGTGTTTAAATGTTGCTTCTAGAGGCTCTCAAAATTATTTTTAGATGTTTGCTTTCTCTAAAGACCCATGGACTTTTTCCTGCTAAATTCCACTAAATGTGTATTGATACTACTACAGTAATTTTACACCATTCAAAATTGACAGTTGGTGAGGTACGCCACCATTGGGGGATATTAGCCTCAGATAGTTAACATGTAGGTCAGTGGCGGCGACAGCGGGGGCAGGCTGATTAAGCCCCCCCCCCCTCATTGGTTTGGTCAAGCCCCACATCGGCCAAAGGAAAAAAAAATGGCCTAGTTTTCCTGTCCCAGCCATTTCCAGTCATGTAGAAGTCCCAATTTAAAAAAAAAAAATCTTGTTTTGTGAGGAGGGGACACCCCGGCTCGGGCCTTAGGCCCTCAGATAACGCTGCGCACTATAGTTACACCCATAAATACTTAGCCCCCCCCCCCCAGTCGGACATTTTAGCCCCCATAAATTATATCATAGAGCCGCCGCTGATGTCCTGTCACAGTGCATTCATAGAACATGATTATGGGTCTGTACTTGTCCACGAGGACAGAGGTTAGTGTCTGATATGCGTCATTTGCTCATGCTTGCTGCAAGCGTTCAGCCCCAGATCCTAGCCTGTTTAGTTTCACTCATGCCTTCCTGTGGAGATCGTTGCCTGGTGGATGTGCTGATGTAATCCCTCAGGAACTGTTGGTGTTTCAATATCAAACATTTTCTTCTCTCTCTTAATTTAAACTTTAGGTTCAGTTTGGCTGGATGCACAGATTTGGAGGAATTGAGATCCAAGGAGATTCAGAAAACTCAAGCATTGTAGAATTCTCCCTTTCATATACGAAAGAATTTGTGATTTGGAATGATTATTATGATGAACAATCAACAATAAAGGTATTTCAATATAATTATATTCTTTCAACAATACTTTACAACATTATTCCTTTATTTCTTTAATAAACATTTGTCACGACATATAGAAATATACAATGACCACAGACGTGACTAGAGGTGACATGGGCTAAAGCCCAACTCAACAAGTAGTCATCTCTAAAAACTCCTGGCCAACAATAAAAAATAAGAAAGAAAAAGATAAAATTTAAACATTCATATTACAGTACTGTTATTGTGTATGATTATCTGACTCAAAAATGCCCTCATAGCGTGAACAATACATACACAATATTATTGGAACAATCATATTTACTTGCCACAAGTCCTTTCATCTTCTTGCGTATGGCAAGCAGCATAGATTTTTATATTTATTTATTTATCTTTTAATTTTTTTTTTTATTAATTTTTTTTATTTATTTTAGTCCCTTATTATTTTTCTCATTCTGGACAGCGCCACCAACGAGCATGTTAATTTAGAGACGAAATAATCCACCTGTAAAACACTGCATCGAGGTTCTCGGATGCCATAAGAATGACGTAATCTTATATTCCGTATATGAACAAAAATGGGCGAACCGAAATAAATTATTTCAGCCAATCACAATGCTCACGTTTTCGGAGCCACGATCGTGTACAGAAACTGAGTCAGTCGCGTCGACTAGTTAGGCGTCCTCCCTAATAAAACGGACCTAAATATATAGAATAGACCCTAGTTGGACGAGTGGGCAATAGCAAAGACAAATGAAGCTTAAGCTAGATGGTCCATATTACAAACACAACGCCACTTTCCAAGAGGACGGCCAAAGCCTCCTTATTTTGTGCATGAGAGAGGCTTGGTTGGGCCCATTTTTAAGTTATTACTTAATACAGTACCTTTTTAACAATGCTCTACCCTACCTAGTGGGCTTAAATCTGTGTATAGCTTAGCGGTGAGCAAGGGTTATCAGTAAGTACTACGGTCATCAGTCCATGTCGTTCAGCAGGCCAATACTAAACTGTTAAAGCATGGCAGTATCATCTGTCTCTTATACACATCTTTGTTATGCAACCTATATATATATATATATATATATATATATATATATATTGCTTTTAAACATGAATGTATTTATCTCTAAGATTATTATATAAAGGACAGCTAAATAAAAAGATTAATTCCTCCTGCAACCTATATATATATATATATATATTGCTTTTAAACATGAATGTATTTATCTCTAAGATTATTATATAAAGGACAGCTAAATAAAAAGATTAATTCCTCCACTATTTCTCCAATATCACAAAACTAAACAGATTCTATATTCTCTAACAATTTTTAGATTTCTTCCTTTCTTTAAAAAAATAAAACTTTGTTAAAAATACTTTTTTTTAACAAAGGGTTTTGTTGAATAATTTCTCGTCCATTTTGTATAGCAGTATCGTATACCAGTTGAGTGAAAATGTATAGGAAATTAACATTTATATTATTAATAGTAACTGTGCATCCCAAGTAGGGGCGTTACTCCAAAGGGCCCGTACGCAGCAACGACTTTAAACTGTATTATATAAGCATTTTGAGAAATGTGAATGTTTACCCCACCGCTTGCGTGTCATTCACTGAGTACAAACTTATCTTCCTTCTAGGTTTCATTAAAATCATCTTTATTCTCGCTTGGAAATCATCTTGATACAACAAGCGAGGATTTAGACCTTCGCACCGTTCGCCATGCGAATGAAGAGCAAGAAATATATAGTACACAAAAAAAAACGTAAAAAACAATAAATGATATTGGTTGTCTATATAAATATATCAATTATCAGAATATTGTGCGATTGTCAGTGAAGCTCTAGATCCTTTAACCAACGTCCATCCACAGTAGTAGCAGCAGCAGCGATGAAGGAATGTGATGATGATATTTCCCTAATGTATCTGTGCTTCTAGACTGTGCAGCACTATTCCCAGCGGCGGTGCCCCTCCCCTCCCCTTTGAAATTATTTTGAAAAAATGAAAAGAAATTTTTATTCAAATTTTTGTCTGAGATTTCCATCTCTGGCCATTTGAGGTGCCATAGGCCTAGTCATAAATTTTCTTGCCTCTGCCCCAATCATGGTGGGGCTGAGGTCTTATGCATCCTCAATCTGTGATTTTTTTCCCCCTCTGCCTATTTCGAATTCCTAGATCTGACATTGGCGGATTAAAGGAGGTCAAGTCGCCCCGTTCCCCCTAAATAAAAAAAAATTCATACATACATACATTACAGCCACCATCGGATCTTCATCCATTTTGGTGCATCTGGACATCAGTCCTTATTACTTGGTTTTTGTCAATGAAATTACAAAATGTCATCTTTATAGATTTCCTACCTTCCGTTATTTAATGTCCACCTAAAACAATGATATTCTAATTGTATAAGGGTGAATTTTACAGCCATTTGGAGGTGCCATAATTATAAATTTTCTACCCCCAACCCTAACCACGGTGGGGCAAAGGTGTTATATCCTCAATCTGTGAAAGTCCCTCCCTGCCCCCACCTTTCCCTTCAAATTCCTGTATCTGCCACTGAAACCGTTTAATACATGCATCTTCAAAGATCTTAAGACCTCAAATGATCAAAAATGCCTAAGCACCACCCCCTCGAAGAAATGCAGTATAAATGGAGTTAAGAAGTCATTTGAGTTGCACTGACAGCGAAAGGAAGACTCCAATGAAAAGGATGGTTATCAGTTTGGATAATCATTCCTAGGTTGCAGCAGAGAGTGTAGTATTTACATCCAATTATTAATTATAATATTATAATTGTAATTATGAATATTAAAAGCAAATTGATGGTGTGTCAATAAGTTTACCCCTCGGACTCGTGCTTTCTAGCATTATAATGACTGAATTAGAGCAAATTGTCATAGCTGGTATACAACGTTCCGACGTTATTAAATTCTACGCGCAATTTGTTGACGAACACCCTGGTTCTAGCTAAGCCCTCCAATTTTAAATAAATTCTAGACTCTCTTAATTCATTTCACCCTTTACTTAAGTTTACCTTTGAAACTTTTGTTAATGTTAACTTTCTGGACTTGGATTTTGATTATCAAAATGAAATTAGTAAAGAAAATTGGTAACCCAGTGTTTTAACAATGAAACTAGTAATATTCGGAAGTTCATGTCTTGGAATTGTTTTCCTAGAATTTTAATCAGCAAACTCTTTTTTAAGTATCTAGGCCGAATGTTGATAATGATGATAATATGCATAAAATATGGGTACAATTAAATTGGCCGACACAGAGAAATATTTCTCCGCAGAATGATTTAATAGCAAAGTTAAAAGAAATCTCACAAAGGATGTTAAATGTATTACTTTATGGAAGACCAAAAAGATTTCTTACTTTACTTCGATTAAAGATACTACTCCCAATGAGTAGAGAAGTTCTGTAGTGTACCATTTTAAATGTCCTGGATGTAACCATGATTATATTGGTAAAACAGATAGATGTTTAACTACCAGTGTAGTTCATTGGTTTTTGGTTTGGACCGTTGGCTTGGTGTTGGTTGACCAATCGGCTCAAAAGATGGTTGAAACCGCCGGAAGGTGGTATCTGCTTCCGTTCTCTTTCAGTTTGATCTTGTGCACATTTAATCACAGGGAACTCCCAGGCAAAACGTCTGTGTAGGTTACCAAGAGAACCAGCAATGCAGACGATCACCGCTCATTATAATTTTGCAATAGTTTTTAATATAACACTACGTTTTGTTTTTATTCTAGTTGTTTAAAAATGATTTCAACAAATCCAGTTCAACTTATTACCATTCATTGATGAATCCATTTGATGCTGTTGCTATCCGAATCCATCCAGAGTATGTTCAAGAATCCACGGACATGAGTTTTCGTCTGCTAAGATTCGAGTTGTATGGTTGTCAAAGAGCAGAACCGTTAAGTCCGTCATGTAAGTAAAGTAAACTGGAAGTAAAGAGTGGAACTCTAACAGGCTCCCATTATATTCAGGTCCTAAATCGGATTCCATGTGCTGCCTTTTTTATTTCTCTTGTGTCTTGGCAATCTAAATTCTGTGTGTGTGCAAAACAAGTATAAAATAAGTTTTCGTTGCGTTTATAAACAACTTCGTAATAACAATATAAAGGGCAGCGGTCAAAGCCACCTGCAGTGAAAAATAAAATCTTCCTATTAACAGCAGTAAAACAAGTATCACAAAATAGCCTTTATCGTCTAGCTATAAAAGTCCTAGTAGATCACACATAGCCAAAATCAAATTGTCCCTACCCAACTATACAATAATACAGTAGTTATTTAGTACAGTAGGTCTAAGTCATATTGTCGAGCTTATAAGAGAAGAGGTAGATCTGAGTAAGACCCTTTCTTAACCATTAGCCGCTTTGCAGCGATTGTTTTCCCCTAAGAAATGAATGCAAATAATTGTTCTGTTATTAGAAAAGTCAAAGAATGTTAATTTGTTTTGCTCTTCTTTTTTCTATGTAATGTTAAAAGCCTAATATAATTTGTTTTCTAATAAATTCAAAATAATTTAATTATATGAATATTAGGCTGTTTTATACAGCAGAAAAGGTTTACATATTTAAGGTAGTCGAAATGTACTGATTATAACATTTGTATTATAACAGAATTGTCCAATATAGCTAACTTTATTGTCCAATATAAAAAAATGGAAATTTGTTTCCTCTTTGGCAAACAGATAAAAGTGAATAAAAACACGTGAAAGTACAAGATGAGATAAACACAATTTTACAATCATTGAAAGAGAGCACATCATGATTAATGATTCATGATTAGGCCAGTATTTGGGCATGACCTTGCCAAAGTAATGAAAATCAAAGTTGAGATTCAACCGCATCCTCCCCGACCCCAGCTGGTTAACTTATGCACACACCAGCATCCCCCTTTTCAACCACCAAAATAAAACTGGACATGGCCTTGGAGGTGAAATTCAATTAATTATTTTTATTCACAAAACATACTTAGATGTCCTATTTAACAATTTAATAATTTCTATGGGAATATCTGATAAAGCTGTACAAATGTTAAGACATTTCCAAAGGGTTTGCCAATTCAAGTAGATATTAGATTGTTAACCACCTCTACTATTTCTTACCAAAAAAAGCAGAGAAATGGTATTACGAGGGGACCAAAGTTGACGATATCAGTATGTTTAAATATTTCGGTAGTAGACCTATGTTAAGCTGTATTGGTAATTGGCTAAAGGCCCGAAAACACACAGCTTCTCGGGCAAATAATTTTTCATCTCCCTATCCATGTTTTTTTTTTAATGTTTGATTCCAAAATACATCCTATTTTATTATTTGGATGTGAACTATAGGGGACGGAAGAGAGTATAATAATAGAAATTCTGTTGATATGTTCTTCTGATTCCAAAAATAGTCTCGAACCCTGCTGTTAAATGTGAGCTGGGAAGAAATTATCTTCAAGTATTGGCTGTATATTTATCTTTATGTTTAACAAGGTATTTAAGACAGTGTTATAATTTTTAGTATAATAAAGACGCATCGAGGAGAATCCTGCTGGGCGCTGCAAATAAAAATTATCTTTACTGCAAGGCACTCCTAATGATACGTATTTTATCTCAATTTTAGTCAGATGTAAAGATATATTCTCAAAATCGGCGAGATTTTTTGGTAGTTATTCATCTCTTTTAGTTTACAATCAATTTAAAATTGACCTCTTTTCTTGAAGATTATTTATGAGTAATTTACAATCCTTTTCATACTACTATGTTTATCAAAGCAAGACTTGATATCTTAGATCTTAAGGTACAAACAGGAAAATAGAGAAATATACCACCCCTGTAACGTACATGTAGAGTGTGCAATAGAAGCAAAGTGGCGGATGCCTTTCATTTTGAAAGGGAAAGAAAAGATAAGGAAACACTAGAATAGAAAAGGAAAGGAAATTTAAGGGAACATAAATAAAGAAAAGAAACTTGGGATTGGGAAAGACAAGCAAGGGTTGTTGGGAGGAAAGGAAAGAAATGACAAGCCAAACACAACGAAATGTAAACAATGAAACAGTTGAATTGATAAGAAATCTAAAATTAAATGGAAAGAATATAGAAAATTGAATGAGGAGGTAATTGAGATAAAATCTTGGTTGACATTTAAATAATTAAATATTAATATTATAAAAAATAAAATAAATAAATAAATTAAAAAAAATTAATGATAAAATTAATCTGTTATTTTTGTTTTGATTGCAAATAAAAAAATAAAATAAATAAACAAAAATAATGATAATATTAACCTCTTATTTTTGTTTTGATTGCAAATGATTTTCGCTCACTGTTTTAATCATCTTTTCTTTCAAGTCTGTTCTGGCTTTTACTTTTATTGTAAAGCGTATAGACGTTTATAGCATTCTTCGCTATGTAAAAATACATTTATTATTATTAATAATCATAAACCAGTGTAATATATAATTTGGTGTAGGCCTACCATATAGACTGTTTTGTGTTATCACCATTATTGTTGTTATTATTATTAATTATTATTATTAATAGGCCTATTATTATTATTATTATTATTAGTACAGTATTTTATTTATTTGTATTCAATTTTTAAAAATATATTTTATTATTTTCATTATTCTGCTGGCTGGGTTGGACGAGTTATTATAGATAAATGTCATCATCGCCCTACTTTTGCCAGTTTCTGTGTGGCTATTTTTTCGGATTGTCAATAATGGATGCATACGAGGGGGTGGCATGTGAAATCAGGTTAAAATTACATTCCATCGGGAGAACTGAAGATATGTTTAAATATCGGGTAAGCCATTGATAGCCAAAATAGAGGCTTTTCGACTGGAATTGTCATTGTTTTCCATTTCCACAGACTGATTAGCTTGAGTTGCGCATGATCAATTGTTGCATAAAAAGTTCGATTTTTCTCATTTCTCTTTCACACCCTATTCGCAGACGCCGTTCAGTACATATACTGTCTCTTATACACATCTAGATGTGTATAAGAGACAGTAAAGTCTGTCTCTTATACACATCTAGATGTGTACATGCATACAGTATATGATATAATAGAAAAAAATATGTAGCCTTAATTTGCCACAAATAATTGAAGATATTCGGTCGTAGACCTTTTATCAAGTTATAGTGAGAACTTAAAAAAACGAGATATATACCTAACCCTAATAAGTGTACAAAGAAATCGCAGTAACAAACAAATAAGGTGTTAAGTCAGAAATAATGCCAGAAGGAAGAAATATCAGTAGGAATAAATGTCATTAACAAAGGAATGATCCATTGCAGAATAGGGGTGTTGGTTAAGATATAGACAGGAGCCATTACACACCCAGTTAACCCTACTCATATGGTAATTTCTGGTGTTCATAGTATAATTAGCAAAGTAAAGTATCAGTTATTTCTTCATTGTAATTAACTAGGCTAATTATTTATTAGGTTGTATATATATTTTTTTCTTCAATTTATAAATACTAAATTTATCACAGTAAATACAATCTAATAATACCTTTATTTATTTTTTTTGTGTAAATGTATTAAGTATTTTAATACATTTAATACCAATAATACAACCTAATAATAAAAATATGTTCACTTAGTTGTTTATTACATTAACTAGGCCTAATTTATTAGGTTGTATTATAAAATTCACTCATAGAGCATTATAATTTTTGTTGTATTTCTTTAAGTATCAAACATTTAGTTAAATAAATACAATTTGGTTAAGTTGTATTTTATTTAAGTAAATACAATCTAAAAATTAGGCCTATTAGGCTGTATTTATTTAATTTAATGTACTTTACTATATAGTATATGATAATTTAATAATAAATAAAACCGAATAAACTAATTAATTAACAACCTAATAAAATTATTTAAGTAATTATGACAATCTAATAATCAGGCCTATTTGGCTGTATTTATTTAATTTAATGTACAATATGATACTTCAGTGGCGGATCTAGGGGATGAATAGTGTGGCTAGCCACCCCCCTTCGGTAACCTCGAAAAAAATATAGTCACTCCTCTTGTGTGTGTGTTTATCATGTATAAATGTTACATGTAGTAGGCTACTCTCGTAAAACATACACTTTCTATTTTAAGCTTAACTTCTTTTCAGATGTCATCCAAGAGCGTCTAGCCGTCTACTAGTTCCAAAAAGTCTCAAATGGTAGGGGATGCCTTTCCCTAAACCCATGATCGAGGAGGGACAGGGGGACAAGTCCCCAAATATTGTTAAGGGGGTGGGGTTTGGTCCCTCAATTTTCATTCGCAATGTAATAATTTCGTAAGTCAAGCAGATGCCTGAAATTTTTTTAAATGAACTGCATAAATGACCCAGGTTTTAACGAAAGCGTGCTGTACAACCGGTACTCTATTTCTGCCCAAAAACATCTGAATTACTTATAATTATATATACGACTCTTGTGTGCGTACCTTTATTATAATTTGAGAAGTATGAGAAAAAGCGTGTAATAATAATAATAAGATTGGTTTTCGGCACATTGTAAAGTAAATTAAAAGACAATTGAGGTTTTTTCAATGGAACATTACAGCGATTAATTTGATCGATGATGATGAATTTTATTATAAAAGAGTGTCATTTCCTGTAATCTAGAGGTACTTTCCCAAAATGTTCCCACCCTTGTGTGGACAAATGGTATGTAGGCCTAAATTAAGTACATCAATGTTTTTAAAATTTATTTTCTATAGTACATCGCACATTATTAATTAGATATCTATGGTTGCTGAAAATAGCTGATAAAACATCATGAGAAATTTGTTGGCGCTTCATTTTTACTATATAGTGGTGATGTGTTTACGATGAATTTTAATATATAAAAGTGTCATTTCCGGTCATCTAGAGCTACTATTTTCTAACATTTTCGCATCTCAGACCCCAACCATGGTGGGCCTGAGGTGGTCGTGGGCTCAACGAAATGTCCCCCTCACCCTTCGAAACAGATCTGCGCACTTGTCAAAACCACCCCCCCCCCGGCTTGGTGCTTCGAAAATCGCATTGCTAAATCCTAGATCCGCCACTGAAGTTTGTTGTATTACGTATTGTACGCCTAATAACAACTTAATAAATCAGCTCCTTAATATATAATTATTATTTTATTATAAGATTTGTTAATTAAGTTGAATTAGTATCACATATTAAATTATTTATTTATTACTTAAATAATAAAAACAGTCTGGTTAGGTTTTATTTATGGTCACCCTTTATTTATGTAAGTAAATAAATCAATAATACCTGTATTTATTTACGTAATGTATTAAGTATAGTGCATGTAACAACAACAATAATACAAGGTAATATTGGTATTTATTTTTTTCAATTAAATAAATACCTAATAAAATTTGTTAAGATTATTGTATATATTTTAGTATCATACTAAAATGGTAATGGAAATTATTTGCTTCCTCATTGAATTGTATGTGTTCAGCCATGGAGTTATAAAAATAGATACCGCCATTAAATTATACTAAAATTAATACAATGTAATAAAATTTGTTAATTAGGATGTAGTAGTATCAGTTATTTTTTATACTTAAATAATTATAACTTAATCAAATCTGATTATGTTATTAATTTAAACATAAATAATGCTTGAATTAATACAACCTAATAAGATAAAATAAAAGAACACTGGAAACGGGATGCTTAAACTCAGTAAGAATAGGAAGGAGTATCAGTTAAAATTAACATCACGATTAACCATGTCGACATATTGTAATAATTATACATTGTTTTTTTTTCTTTGTCGTATTCCCGCAGCTGCTTGCCCTACAGATGATACTCCAGGTAAGTTGTATTTATCAATTTAATTGCCCAGTCAGCAGCAGGCTGACTGGGTTCTGTTTCTGAACAGTTTCTTCTTACCCAGTCAGCAGTATGCAGACTAGGTTCTGTTTCCGAGCAGTTTCTTTCTGTCTTTCTGGCAACATTTTAAAAGGCTATTAGTGGCAAACTACTGCACCGATTTAATTAAAAGTTGGTCAGTAGGACCAGTGCCACCTCCCATTTCACAACTTGGGGTCAAAGGTCATATAAGGGGCATTGGGTCAAAAACGACTACTTCTCTCACATATAACGTAGCACAGTATTGTCCTTTGCACATATAAATTGGCATAAGGCAGAGTCTATAGGGTGTTCAGAAATTAGAGGTCAAAGATCATTAAGGGGTAATTTTATCTTTTTTCTAGAAACATTTCAAAACGCTACTAATGCCAAACGGTTATGCCAATTTCAACCAAACCTGGTCAGTATAACCGGTGACACCTCTCATACATGGGGTGTTCACTGCTTGTGGTCAAAGGTCACATAGGGGTCATTAGGGTAAAAAAACTTTTTAAAAAATGAATAAAAGACTTCTGTCACAAATAACATACACAGTCTTGTCCTGGGCACATGTGTATTAGCATAAGGTAGGGTCTCTATGGTGTTAGCAAATTCGGGTCAAAGGTCATTAAAGGGTTATTCTTTTGTTCTATCTGGTAACATTTCAAAATGCTACTAATGCCAAACGATTGGACATTAAGAACCAGCAACACCCCAGTCTGGGATGAGGGGTCATTTTGTAATGCAAAATTCGCTAGCTGCTCGTCCCTTCCTCTATCTATATTCTTTGGAGACCTCAACTACTGATGACGAAAATGTATCTGTTCACTTGTATGATGTTGATGAGGGTCCAGTAGATGCAGCTACCCATCGGCCTCAGCGTCGGAAACGACCACGGGACAAGTTTGGAGAGTGGGTTACATCTCTCTGTGGCTTTATATTGAAACATTAGTGTAATTCCTTTTTAGCAATGGTTTGGGACAACCATTTTTAAGTGGGGTGATTGTGATGTACCACAGTTAATTGTTATAACGTCCTAAATCTAAAGTAAGTTTTTAGGCTAATCTTGACTTGTTGAGGAAAAGAAAGAAAACATGTCCGTATGCGAACGGGTGTTATAAAACAAAGACCGAAGACCGAAGACCCCTATATTTTCTCTTTTATTTTGATGATAATACACCAGGTTGTCACAAAATCAAAAACACAATTTTTTTGGTCGTCTGTTTGTGAAATGTTCAAGGGTCTTCGTTTTATAGACAACCTATATGGGTGTCTACACAACGAAGACCGAAGACATTTAATTATTTCTCAATTATCTTATTGAAAGTATTTCAAAATCATCATAAAACAGTTGCCAAGTACCTATTTCATTATGTCGGAATAAAATGAGGAATATCAAGGGTCTTCGTTTTATAGACACCCTATATGGGTGTCTACAAAACGAAGACCGAAGACCTGAACAACGAAGACCCACATTTTTTTTCTCTTTTTTAAAATGATTCTACACCAGGCTGTCACAAAATCATAATTACTAGATTATTTTCATCACGAATGAAAGAAAAAAAATGTGGGTCTTCGTTTTTTGGGTCTTCGTGTTGTAGACACCCATAAAGGGTGTCTATAAAACGAACACACATCTCATTCATCCCATGTTGGTGTCACATATGCGTCACTATACAACATTCCTACTGTTTATTTTAACATGAAACAAGTTTATGAATGAAATATTCAAGGTTTTTGTAGGCCTTCCAGAATACGCGTACCGCCAGGCCAAGCCTTACTTTCGTTTAGAAAGTAGCAGCGCCGACGGACTCTGCCGCCAGCCGTGAACGTACAGCATTGGCTGCCGCTGTGGAACTGGAATAAAGAGTATTTCATTTCATTTAATTTATTTCTTCTCATACATACAAAAACACAACAAAGAACAGGTTGACGGTAGTGCACAGAAGAAATTCCAAACAAGTGAACTCAATCACTGTCAATCACTGTTTCAAACATGAAATTTGAAACAATAACAATTTTAAAGAATACAAATAAATAAATATACAATTTAAAAAGCTAATCATCGTATGCACGTGTTGATAAATTAGATTTAAAATTTCTAATAAATACATTTAAATTAATTACAAGATCCCTAATTTTGAATGGGATAGTCTCCCAAAATCTACCCACCACTGGATAAAGGGAGATCGGCCTGTAATTTTTTAAATAGGATCTTTTACCACTTTTAAAAAGTGGAATAATATTTGGCGATTTCCAATCTATCGGGATCGTACCAAGTTCAAGAGATAAATTAAAAATTCTACATAAAGGTTCTATAATATATATATATTGCACTTTAACATAGAAGATGTAATTCCATCAGGTCCAGGTGATTTTCCATATTTTAGTTTATTAATAAATTTAAGAATTTCCGACGAAGTAATTTATACATTGCTAAGAGGTCTACAGTGATGATCTTCACATAAAATAATTGGTGGCCTTATTGGTGCCTGTTCATCTGAGTAAATAGACGAAAAATGTTGATTAAAAGCATTAGTAATTAAGTTGGGTTCTTAAGTAATTGACCCTCCTATTACAAATTCTGAAGCAGATGGTTTTATTTTACACGAACGAACGTAAGACCAAAATGCTTTATCATTATCTGAACATTTGTCAGCAAGGTCAGAAATAAATTTATGATAGGCGCTTCTGATTTTGTATTGGGTCATTCCATAATATGGTTCCAACAAACTTTTTTGCCCGACCCCCTTGAAATCGCCCAATATTTTTCCTGTTGGGGGTTTACTTGAATTAACCCCACAGTGAAATTGGCTCCGCGCCAGCATTTTCTGATGAGTTAGAGCAATTTTAAATTTTCATAAGATTTGGCTAAAAAAACTCACCTTCTGACAGACAACTACTGATATCTCTCTTGAAACTCAACGTATTGGAGAAATTTAGCATTTTTCATCAAAGAGAAGTGGAATTACATAATAAATATTTGATTTTTGAGGATATTTATGGCGGCCATCCTGAATTTCAAAATGACTACCATCCTAGCTTTTTGAAACTATATTTATTGTATTCAGAGAGCCCAAAATCATGATTAGATCCAAATTTACCATTTTCCATAGAGGAGATGTGGAATTATACTGAAATATTAAATTTTTGACCATTTTAAGGCGGCCATCTTGAATTTCAATATGGCTGCCATTTTACTTTTTCGAACCCTGTCTCATTGGCTTCAGTGACCCTAATAACATGTAGTTAGACACCAGATTTGCCCTTTTTCAATGGATATAAGTGAAGTTATGAGTGAATATCATAATTTTGGCGGCCATTTTCAAAATGGCCACTAAAAAATATGTTCCGCCCTTTTTCTGGAGGTTCTTCCTCGCTCAATTTATTATTTGTACCCCAGTGATGCTAAATCAGCAGAGAAACCTTGGTCCCAGAAAAATGGTCTGATTTACACTATTTTATGGTGCCAGTTTCATAGAATCAATCAGATTTCCTGGAAACTCAGTGAAACTATCAATATCTAGGCACAAAATGTAGTCTAGAGCAAATATATATTTCATTTGCCCACAATGAAACTTTAGGGGCATCATCGTGTGGGCTAAGTGTCCTAACTGAGATGTGAACTTCCCGAAAATCGAGATATATGATTTTGTGATATTTTGGGTCAAAGGTCAAGGTCACGTGACTTGACCTATATAACTCTCACTAGTCCGGACATCATCAAGTTGCATATCGTTGGAAAGAAAATCGTCTCCTCTGTTTAACGGTACCAGATTTTGGGCTCTCTGAATACAATAAACATAGTTTCAAAAGCTAGGATGGTAGTCATTTTGAAATTCAGGATGGCCGCCATAAATATCCTCAAAAATCAAAAAATTATTATGTAATTCCACTTCTCTTTGATGAAAAATGCTAAATTTCTCCAATACGTTTTTTAGCCAAATCTCATGAAAATTTCAAATTGCTCTAAAACTCTTTAGAAAATGCTGGCGCGGAGCCAAAAATTTCACTGTCCTGTTATCTCAGGTAGACCCCCACAGCAGGCAAAATATTGGGTGATTTCAAGGGGGTCGAGCAAAAAAGTGTGTTGGAACCATATGGAATGACCCTATTTTAGAATATGTTTACAAACTTTATAGGCTTCCCACTTATAGGCTTATAGGCTTCCCACTTTAGATCTAACTGCAAGTTTGTAGAGTCTGTTTTTTCTTTTAGTCATTTTAATTATTTCAACCGATATCCAAGGTTTCTTTGGTCTCTTTTTTGATTTTCGTTGAGGTACAAGTTTATAAGTATTATCGAGAAAAACTAGTTTAAATTCCTTCCATACACCATAATTGTTATTTACGTTATTAAAACAGTGCTCCCAAGAAATGCTTGAAAAATTTTCAATAAAATTATTTATATTAATTTTAGAATATTGAAAAAAAAAACACTTCCTTTAGGTGGGTTAGCATGAGGATTAGTTTTGCACAAATATGAAAATGAGATACCTTCATGGTCACAGCCAGGAAGTGCATAATGTGAGCAAATATTAACAATTTGTTCAGGTCTGTTGGTATACAAATGTCCAATAATGTTTCCAGTATTATAAGACTGATCACCGATAAATCTAGTAGGAAAAGAAACCATTTGTGTAAAATTAAGACAATCCATGATAGATAAAAGTCGAGGTAATAAATTTAAATCAGATGTGTTTTAAAAATTAATACTAAAATCTCCTACTAGAATAACACTATGATAATATTGTACATAATTGAAAACATTATCAAGTTTGGAGCTGATCAAAATAGTCAATATTAGACTAGGGAGGTCTGTAAAGACTCCCAATCAAAGATTTGCCTTTATTGTGGTGGATTTCAGTTCATACAAGTTCAATAGCATCATATACCACAATATGTTCAGCTGCACACGGTCGTAGATCATTGTGAACAGCAATTAGTACACCACCACCATGTCTGTTCCTATCCCGCCTGAAAAGTGTGTACTCATCACAAACAATTTCAGAGTCTAAACTCGACAAATAATAACAACAATATTTTAGGATTGTCAGACCTTAAAAGCGCATGAAAATCTATGAGTTTATTCACGATGCTCCTTGAATTCATGTATAAAACAGACACATTCCTACGAGAATGTTCCTCACTATTAGGTGGTCCAAGATTTGGATGAATGTCTCCATCACAACTTATTAGAATACAGGAAAAACATACGTGGTTTTAATAATATAAAACTGGTCGAGAATACTTTTTCCTTTTCTGCCCGCATACTGACGACCAGCATGTTGAGTTTTCAAGTAGTTGAAGGCATTTGAATCGAGGCCTACCTGGTCAAATTTAAACTTCACGCTTGAATAGCTCCTGTCCCAGTGTAAATGCTTGTAACAATGGCTGCTGTACTGTAACACTGGGCCTAAAATATTTACGCTAATTTTTGCGAAAGTATAGGTTGACCATGTTGTAACAAAGTTGACCCTTGAAATAATGACCACTTCAGAGGGATAACATCTACAGAATCGTGTGTGGAAACAACAATAGCGTACAGTTGTAAAAAACAAACTGAAATCAGAGTACCTAACATAGCTTTGGTTATATTACTAAAGTATGTAAATCATTAAATTGACTCAGATTCGGGCAATAATGTGGTAGAAGGATGAGTATATATATTTATATATATATATATATATATATATACATATATATATACTATATATACATATACATATACATATATACTATATATATATACATATATATATACATATACTATATATGCATATACATATACATATATACTATATATATACATATATATATATATATATATAGTATATACATATATATAGCATGAAGTGATTTAAAAACATTATTTTCATAACGATTGAGAGAAAAAATGTGGGTCTTCCTTTGTCGGGTCTTTGGTCTTCGTTTTGTAGACACCCATATAGGGTGTCTATAAAATGAAGACCCTTGATAATTTCACAAACAACAGTTCAAACAACCTCGTAATTATGATTTTGTGACAGCCTGGTGTAGTATCATTAAGAAAAAGAGAAAAAAACGTGGGTCTTCATTTTTTCGGGTGTTCGGTCTTCGTTTTGTAGACACCTGATTGTCTATAAAACGAAAACCCTTGAAATTTTAAAAACAGACGCCCAAAAACAATCGTAATTTTGATTTTCTGACAGCCTGGTGTATTCATCAAAATAAAAGAGAAAAAATAGCGGTCTTCGTTTTATAGACACCCGTATGCAAACTGGAGCATCTGCATTTTTAAACTTTCATATTAGCTGCTCTCTGATATTAATCTTAGCTTGAATTACTGCATTATAACTCGATATATTAACTCTTTCTAATTATCTTAATAATCTGTAAGTACACGATTTATATGTTTGTAGTCGGGTTTGTATTTAATACATACTATCTAAAATACTGAATATGTTTGTGTACATATACCGCTTTTGTAATATAGTTTTTGATGGCTTATAAAGAAACCGAATTGAATTGGGGTTTTTTTTCAGATTTTGGCCAATACGACAGAGGTGTGCTTGTTGATCCAGTATCTGGTAGAATATTTGTCTGTGTACTGGAAGACGTTGGGTGAGTATATAATTCAATTTTTTGCATAATAATAATAATAATAATAATAATAAAAATAAATAATAATAATAATAATAATAATAATAATATTATTAATAATAATAATAATAATAATAATAATAATAATAATAATAATAATAATAATAATAATAATAATAATAATAATAATAATAATAATAATAGAGACATTGATAAAATCAAATGACACGGTTGACGTTTTGGAGGAACATAAGTATTTTATTGCACATGAATATTTCGTCCTTCCCTCAGAACTTTCTCAACGTGAATGAACAAAAACATTATACGAAGTAGGTAAACCATCAGCTATGAAATAACAGTAAATAACAATGAAATAACAATAAGACAATTTGCTGGGCGTAATTATTTATTCGTGAAAGTACAGCCACTAGCAAAGCCTAAATCTCTGTTAAGTCCCTTAGTATGTGATTTAATACTGAGTATCCATCGTATCCGCGCACCGTCTATCTTTAGTAGATTTGTAGTCACTGCCTATGATGATGAAACGAAAATTAGAACTTGAATGCCCGGGTGCAGTGAAATGGTCACTCACAGGAAATCCCATACTTTTATCTCTAATTGATTTTTTACGGTTATTGAGTCTGTATCTTAGTTTAGTGCCAGTCTCTCCAATATAATTACCCATGATACATTTATTGCAATAAATCATATAAACCACATTAGAGTGATTACAATCTAATCTGGGAGTGCGTATAGTGCAATCTGTCCCAGGTACATGGAATAAACTGTCTGTTGTGATGACAGTGCAAAGACTTGGCACCTAGGTTTTAAACATGGTGTGTTTCCATACTCTTGGGTGGTTGGATGTAATTTGGATGAAGTCAAAATCGATTTTAAATTGAGTGGCTGTCGTCTAGCAATGATGGGAGGATTGCAAAAAAGAGGTTCAATGCTGGAATCCTGTTTCAGATCATTATAATTATTCTTAAGTGTATGAGCTAGAGATTGAATTTTAGGGCCGTAACCTAAAACAAACGGTATCCTATCATTACTAGTCTTAGGTATATAACATAGCAAATCATTGCGTGATCTTAATGATGCCTTGAATATAATACTGCTGATTTGATTAAAGATATAGGATAATTGCAATTTAAAAAATAAGTCATGTGAGACATTTGCTTATCAAAATCAGAATGGTTAGAACAAATACGTTTAATGCGGAGGCATTGGCTAAATACTACAGTATAGAGCGCTTGAGGTTGATGGGATGAAAACTACGGAAATCTAAGTAATGGTGATTGTCTATCGTCTATCAGCTTGCAGTATAATGAAGTAGGCCTAGTGATGATCCCATTATGAAGACTAACAGATACATCTATAAATGGTATATAACCATGTGTTCCACAGTGAACTTAATGTTCGGATGGAAATCATTAGCATATGTAATAAAATCATTAAGTGATTCAATCCCATGTTCCCATATGAAAAAAATGTCATCGATATATCTATAGTAATGGGAGGGTTTTAGATGGTAATTAGATATAAGTCCGATTTCGAGATGAGACATGGATATATTGGCATAGCTTGGTGCCATATTCGTTTTGATCGCCGTTTCTTTGTTTTGCAAGTAGTGTTTCCCATTAAAAACAAAGTTATTATGTGTCAATATAAATCTGATTAACAGGGAAGTATCCCGGCTGGTGTGTCTGGGTCGTATTCAGCTATGAATTTTTCACAAGCAGCAATTCCTTCCTCGTGTGGAATGTTAAGTGAAGACAATCCATGGTGACAAGTATAGCATTATGGTGAAGTTGCGGGATTTCATTGAATTTCTGTAGGAAATGGGTATTTTCCCCTAAGTAGCTGTTTTCCGTCGTGGATCCTCCAATCGAAACGCTGTCTCTCCAACAATATTGTTAACCTGTCAAATGTCCAACTCACTAAAGACCAAATATCTGTTCTGAACAAAGGACTATCATTTTGTCCAACACGAGATCTGGATGCCATCAAACTCTGCTCTGACCTTGATGATTTCGCACGTAAAATCTGCCTTAAAGAGTATTTCAAAGATAAAGCTGTACCATCCCAAAATCAGACCACCCGACAGAGAAACCAAAGATCTTCACTGTGGACACCACAGGCAACAGAAATCCGCATATTGATAGTTTTGTCAGTGCTGCTAAAGCCCATTTAGATATGTTCATTCAGAAAACCATCATGGAAATCCACAATGAAATCAACAATCTCAAGCAAAATGAACGTAAAGCCATCAATGAATTACGCAAAAACACCGATTGTTATCAAACATGCCGATAAGGGAGATGCCATTACCATCATGGACACTAACAACTTTGTCGCTGAAATTGAGAAGCAAGTATCTGATCAATCGTCTTACAAATAACTTCTATCGGATCAAACCCAAACATTCAAGAAGGAAGTATAAAGGATGCAAATTAATCAATCAAAAGATGCTCCTTTAGCATAACCCTTTATTGCTGCTCGACCTGAATCGATTTGGTTAAAAACTGTGAGCCACGATAACTACTATACTACTGTATAGTGAAATTCAGCATTATCTTCACTATAAAAGAACATGAACCGACATTGACTGCCAAGGGTAGTATGTGTCTCTGAGCAGTGCGTGAGGAGCGCGTAAACAACAAAAAATAAACTATGGAACGTGCAAGAAGCAGCAAGAACTGCGGACAGCATACTCCCCCCGTGATGCCATGACGACACAATACCACAATGGCAAATAATTTGATTCTAAGAATGAACAATAACATTTTCTAAAACACAGGCTACAAGCCAACGCAATACATGATTATTAATCGTCTGCTTCAATTAATAGAATTATCTCGTGTATTGGTCTCTGAATAACGTTGCCTGTCGAAGACAATCGCACCTCCACTGTCCTGACACTACCGTCGTCGGTAGGAAAGGAGCTAGTAATGATACCCAGTGGCCATTGATTTCTTGCTGCGTTCTTTTCTCGCAGTAGGACGACGTCGCCAACCAGGAAGTCACGACATTTTCTTTTCCATATCTGCCTTTGTTGCAGCGTCTCTCCATTGTTTCCAAAAACGATCCGCCAATAATTGCACTGCCTTCCATTATGCTTGGTACTTATTGGGGAGATTATCTGTAATTACAGCTTCGATGCTACCATGCTTTTGAGTAAGCAACAGTGCTGGACTTAAATAGCCTACCTCTTCCGCATCTGTGGTTAATGGTACCAATGGTCTTGCATTAACTATTGCTATGACTTCGGCCATGAAGGTGACCAGTGTCTCATGTGACAAGGCTTGATACTTATGTTTTATTAATATGTCATCTAGAAATCTTCTTGTTACTCCGATCATCCTCTCCCATGATCCGCCCATGTGAGAGGCATGTGGAGGGTTTAAACGCCACTCGGCGTTGTTCTTAAGCAAATACGTTTAGACCGTATCATCACCAATTGCACCAATGAAATTAGATCCCTGATCAGATCTGAACACTTTCACTGCTCCTCTGATGGCTATTAATCTCTTCATTGCATTTATAAATGAAGAACTACCCATCGTCTATATTAATTCGATGTGGATAGCTCTTGATGTAAGGCACGTAAACATCACAGCCCACCGTTTGTTCAATACTACTCCACCTCTTGTTCTTCTAGCTGTCACCTTCCAAGGCCCGAAACAATCGACCCCCGCATTGGTGAAAGGTGGGACACATGTAATCCTATCACTGGGTATATCAGCCATACGTTGGTACTCAGCTTTCCTCTTAACTTTCTGCAGGTTACGCAATGATGGATGATTGAAGATACCAACTTTTTACACCCAATAACCAGCTTTTTCACTGCTCCTTCAGTAAACTGTCTGCCCTGGTGATATATGTTATGGTGGAAAAGTAAAGTTGCAATGTGACACTTTTCCGGTACGACAATGGGGTGTTTCATGATAATTGGAAGAGTCGCCTTCCTGAGTCGCCCACCAACACAGAGTAACCCATCTTCATTAAGCACGGGAGCCAGTGACAGGATTGATGAGTCGTTGGGTAGCGGTTTGTTACTTTTCAGACTTCTCATTTCCTTTGGATACCACTTTTCTTGTGCCTGTTTGAATATCAACTTCTCTGCTCTCTGTTTTAGAGCTATATCATTTAAACGGCAATGGTGCCACCCTTTGTAATGACTATCGTTGTTTTTGTGATTGAACGAACGAGCCACATGTATGAGTATGTAGGCTAATGGACCTAATTAAGCTTTCCCAAGATGAGAACTTGTTGGCTCTTTCTAAAAGGCAATTCTCATGCACATTTGTCTTCATAACAATTATTTCTCTTGTCTGTGTTCTTTATCCTGTTGAGGACTTACCAAGGGATACCATTCCGTTATGTCTACCTTGAATACTGAACAATGAGGACCTTTAAGTCATGGACAATCTCTCATGTTTCGTGCGGATACCTGGCGTGTCCCATGGTCCGCAGGGTTCTTGCTTGTGTGAATGTACCTCCATTGATTGGGATTCGAAAATTGCAAGATTTTAAACACCCTGTTTGCTACGTATGTATGAAACCGCCTAGTTGTGTAGTTTAGGTATCCCAGGACTACCTTCCTGTCCGAATAATAGGTCACCTCCTGAGAAGGTATATCGACTTCAGCACAGATTACTTTTGCTATCTCTATAGCCAACACAGCTGCACACAGCTCGAATCTAGGGATCGTGTGTCCAGCTTTTGGTGCTAATTTCGACTTACCGAACACAAAACCTGCGTGTCTCTGTTCAGTGTCTTTACTGACTAAGTAGGCTACGGCGGCAACTGCTACCTCCGATGCGTCGCAGAACACATGACGTTCAACCATTTCACCAAAGCCAAGTGGGTACGCACGTGGTACTGAAACGTTTTGCAGTTCTTTTAAATCATTTTCCAAGATTTCCATTCCTGAAGGTAACAGTTCGGCAACTCTTCATCCCTGTCTATTGGTGCATTGATCATGTTGCGAAATAACACCCTCGTTTGAATCATTACAG